CTTACTTCTCTGGTTTCGACTTCTAAATTATTCTTGCCATTTCCTACCCTTCATTGTCTATCCATTTGCTCACATTTCTTAAATTCATATCATTTTCCATTTCAGACTCTTTTGGGTCTCATTCACACTTTATTATGATCATCAACCTTCAATTTCTAATTTCACAACTTCTATCAATATTCATTAACACCTACTCCTCAATCCCTTACTAAAAACGCACTATAACATTCCCAGGTCATCCATGCTCACCCTCCCTCTTGTTGTAAAGTTAAGAATCACTCAACAAGTATGTACCAAGCGATCTAGAGACCACAACCACACCAATCCCTTTCGGCATATTCTGCTGCAACAAATGTGTGCACAATACACATAACCATTCGGGTTTTAATCCCTCGACCCAAGCATGCAGGCCAACACACACAACCATTCGGGTTTTCACCCCTCGAACCAAGCAGGCGAGCTAACACACACCACCATTCAAGTTTTCACCCTCGACCCAAGCAGATGGGCCAACACACACAATCATTCGGGTTTTCACCCCTCGACCCAAGCAGGCGGCCCATACATACACTCTACACTTCACATAGTTATATGAACTCACACAGTCATACTCCTATATACACACATATATATGACCATGCATACAACCATTCCGAATGTATCCATCTTTATCAAGGGAAACCACTAAGCATCCATAATAAATACCAAATCAGCCTCTAAAGAAAATTAAAAAACCATACTTCAGGATCATCTAAACCATACATATCTTAAATCTTATTTGTGGATTTATACGTAGATCAATTTTGTCTTCTGACATGCTCATAAGACGCACCTAAACACTTAAATATACATGAATTTAAGGTAATTATCGAACAATAATTCATTAATCAGATTTCAACCATAAACAATAATGAATAACAAGATATATCTAACAAAAGGGTTTGAGAAATATGTCGCCAAGAACTATACCATACTCATATACATGTATAATCTGTCGATTTCCTCTTCTTTTTTTATTTTTTTTATTTCACTTAGCATTTTAGCCTTCCATTATGGAAATTTTCCCAACTCCGATCTGTCTACGACTTTCCTACTCTAAGTAGTCACAAGCTCCAAAAAATTAACTGCTAATTAATTTTTCTTTATTCACGCTAAACAGGTTAACAACTCTCTATATTCACTTGCATTTTAACATTCTTTTCCCACCCTAAACATATTAAAAGCCCGCTAGATTCATTCACCATTTCTGCAATGTTCACTTCTCATCCACCACTTACCTCGAATTTATCTACTATTTAAACTCTTGGAATTATTCAATACCATCAACATCGGTTTACATATGATACACATAGGGGAACCACCGTAAATAATTCATTATTTCACGATATAAGAAATTTATTCACACTCCTTTTAGATTTGAGTTTCAAGGCAAATCAATCTTGTAGGTATTGTATTTCGTAAACATAATTCCTCATAGTGTGTTACCAAATTTGCTCTGATACCAACTGTGATGCCCCTTACCCTTAATGGCCAAAACATCCTTACATGCCCATGTAGAATGTTCCTTTAATTTTACCATTCGGTGCAACACAATATAATCCTTCTCATTCTAAGATGAAATCATCCATACACCTATTAACAGTCACTTATTTATATATACTTTATTCTCATGCAGGGGATGGTCCTCATGTTTTATCACAACAAAAGGAAGAGAAAATATTCCAAAACTAAAAATATATCAAATCCATTCTACATGTGTGTATGTAAGTATGTAAGTGTTGTATCCCACACTACTCCCATTGTCACACTCTGCATCTTCAAGGAAGTGGGATCTATGGTTAGAAATTCCTGGACCTATTCCTGCTTCCCTGTATCTGTAAATAAAATAGTAATGAGCTAACATGCCCAGTAAGTCAAATTTAAAATTTGAAACTAACGAGTTGAAACTTCCCGAAGTATTCCCCAGTAACCTTACATTCTCCCCATTCTCCTTCGCTCGCTTGAAATAAATTTTTAGGTTTATCCCTTTATATTCATTTACTATTAACTGCTCATATAATCCTCAGCTAAGCTTATGACTTAAACCTTACACTTCCTAGTGTTTATCTCTTAGTAGGTTTTCTCTCACTGCCACTATGATCACATTTTATTTCTGGTTCCTTATTAATCGCTCTCATTCTCATAGATTTCCTATCTAGTTTATTATTCTCTAACAGCAGTTATTGCCCAAGTTTCTTGACATTTAATAGAACATGTTCTTCCCCTAAACTAAATTTACTCACTGTTCACACAGTGTAACATCCTGGGCTCAAGAATGATTAATTTCAAAATAAGGGAGATTGATTATATATATATATGTTAATGATAATAATAAAATAATGATAATAATAATAATAACAATAAAAAATTTATTTATCAAGAAAGTGTAAAATAATGAAGAAAAAAATTCATTTTGGACCTTTTTGAAACAAATTTTAGAAATTAGGGCCAATCTATAAAATAAGGGGGGGACTTACTTGAAAGAAACTTGGAAAACCAGGGCCACTTCGTAAATGAAAGGAAATGGGCCACGTAGGATGACCATGTTAGCAGCATGGAAAATCAAGACGTGCCGCATGGCAAATGTGTCAGCAGGCCTCTCCACGCAGGAAGCCATGCTGGCGATTCGCATGCCAGAGGGATCGAATGACTTGGATTTATTCCCACTCGCATGAATAGCCAGATCTCGATCTCGCCTAAATTTGAATGAGCGGCCCTGATTGCCCATGTGATAGATCCAACAATCGCACGATCGATGGCTCAGATTTGCAGGGCTGATCTATCGAACGGTTCGGAATATGTAAGGGAGGAGAATATGATGGGATGCCCTAAATAAGCAAGATCGGATGGTCCCTATTGATCCACACGGACCAGAATAAACAAATTAGATTAATGGGAGAGAGGTATTTAAACCTCTTATTCAGTCAGCCTCCCAAAATCTAGCCGTCAGGTCGACTAGAGAAGAAGAAGAAAGGGAAGTTGGAGGGAGCTCAGTCGTTGGAGGGACAACGGCGCTGCTATGCTGGAAACGAAAAACAATGCCATTAAGCATGATTTTTTCCCATTCTTCTTATTTTCTATCCTAGACTATTTAAACTATCCTTGATGCAAAATAACCCAAGAAAAGCCATAACCTGAGGGAGAGCAAACAATGGAGCTCAGTTGTGCCACCATGCTGAAAACTGAACCAATGACGGTAAGGTCAAAAT